ATGAATATAGCAGGTAAATAGTGGAGAGGTACTTGGGGAGTCAGATGTCAGGCAAGTTATAATGTGTCATAAATCCAATGTCTATACTTAATCCATGATTTTATGTCCTTACACCAACATGCCTGCAACCTACTTCCCTCATCAACCTGAAGTTTCTTACACTCCTTTTCCACTTGGTTATGGGCTTGAGAGTGGAATAAGGCATTAATCCAAAGCCCACTTGTAGCCAATAAAAATGTTCCCATTCGTTTCAGTGACTTTGGATGAAGGCTTCTGGCAGTGTGATTATACAGCAGTCTATTAGTCAGAGTAACTCCAGCCTCCTTGAACAATACCTCACAAGAAACATTTTATTACCAAACTGTATAGTCTCAGTATACCTTAGCGATTAGTTACTGTAATATTGGTCCTGTTATACAGTACATAATATACAAACTGGAGATGCAATAATTTGATCACAGCATTTGTGACACCTACTTTTCTAACCAGCCAAAAACAAAAAATCTCAAGGTCATTCTCAATGTCTTTTCTGCTTTTTGGCAGCACCAGCTGTTGCTACAGCAGTCCCAGACTGGCTCTGATTTTTCATTTTGTTTTTCACATTAAAGTTGCATAATAAATTACACTATTCAAATGTTACTTTTTGGTCAGTAACATTTTAAACTGGTACTTTATATGGGTGGGAAATTTACCATGTGTGCACGTGTGTACACTTTTCAGGGTGTTTTACGGAATGGGAGGGCTGCATTCAAGGAAGAAATAAAATGGTTAATTCACCAAAAAATGATTACATTTACCAAACTCTTACCTCTCCCCAAATTCCGACTGTGTCTCTGATGTCATTTTTACAATAAGAGAGTTGTCTAATGCAATTGTTAACAGCAACACTACTTTTTCCAGGAGCAAGATCTTCTTCTGCCATCTCTACCCAGCCCAAAGAGCGCACAGCAAAACACTAAGACAAAGAAGAAAAGAAAAATATAAATAAAAGTATATGCATGTAAATCAAAACTCCATACACATCAGCAGAGCTGCATGAGAGGTGAAAGAAATGTTATGCCATATTCTTCTCTTTGCTAGATGAATGTTTAAACTACCCCTGACTTTGAATGAGGTAGGATCATGAACTTCTGTTGCTCAAAGTGTCACCCTATGAGGTGATGTGCCTAGGAAATAGGTAAATTAAAATGTACAGTTTGAGAATGTAAGATGATTTTTTTTCCAGAAACAATGAGTGAAATTGAATGAGGCATCAGGAAAGGATACCCTTCTTATATCTCTATAGCTGCAAACTTCAGTAAAATACAAGATTAAATGAGAGACATGTAAAGAACGTACTGATATTTAGTGCTATACTCCTGTACCAGAAAAAGCAATGATAGCTATACATTAGGATGGCAGTCCTAGCTATTGTCTTAGCTTTAGTTTCCTAAAAATCCTATTGATTATGGCATGCTGTGAAATGCACACATACAATATATCTACCTGGCTAGTTTTAACCAGAAAAATTAATTTATTACAGATTACAACTATTGGCTTAATGGTCTAAGCAAGGCAGCAAACAATGGTAAATTTAAAACATCAACTAAGGGATAATACTTTGTATAAAGAAAGAGGCTTTTGTAGAAGAAATCAGAATGACCGTTTTAAAAAACAGACCAATTACAAAAATTATAAAGCAGACGGATGTTTAGCCAACCAGAGCACTCTGCTGGCAGAACATACCAAGGCTACATTATTCTCCACATATGGTGCTTTTTGTAAGCAAAACAAAAAAGGGAAGAACTGCCTGGAAATGTCTAGATTATAGTCATTGTTGCAGATTTATAAAAAAGTACATTTTAACTTGGAAAAGGAACCTCAGTGAGTACAGAAGGGGGAAACCATATCCAATGGAAAACGTCTCCAATGGGGACAGGATTTTACCTAGACCGTATGCTCTCAAATGGTATTTATCACTTGTGTTCTAACAGACACCACAAACTTTCCTAAGTCTCCTGAAAATTTCACAAGTAGTGGCAATACTCCCAAGATTTTCTATATGATACCAAACACATTATTTTTAAGCATCTAGCGTAGAGAAATAGAATGGTATATATGGATGTCAGATATAAGTTATGTTACCTTTGACAATTTAGGGACTCATCAGATTCTACTATATCTTTCCATCTCTCTTCAGAGAATTTAAAAAAAATTTTTTAGGCTTCCTACTTCAATATTACGGATGAAGTAATTCTCTTTCATAAGGAATTAGGCAGTATTCAAGTGTTGGCCTGATTTCTATCAACACTTACAGTTTTTTCTAGAGAAGCCCAAGCTTCAGCAGATGCATAGTCCACAAGAACAGCAGAAAGATTTAGAATTAATAATTGAAAGTTTGCCTATATATAACATCACTTTTCTTCCACAGTGAATATTTCCTCTCAAAAATAGATCAAAGAGTAAACTGGAACAGGCCCTGTGCAATCCATTTTCTATACAACTTGGCAGGTGCTCAAAAGAAAGGCAATGTTAGAACAGAACACCCATGCATTGACTTCAGCCTTCCTGTAACCTCCAGGTGCAAAGGTTACACCACCAAGGTTGTGCGTTAGGGCTGTGCAAAGCTTTGGTAGCTGATTCAATCTGGAAGAGATTTGGCCTGATTTGGGGACCAAATCTCTGAATCCTAATCAAATCGGGAGACCAAGTAAAAGCTCCAAATCGATTCGAAGCTGGGCAAGCAGCAGCAGGACAGAGCCGCTAAAGCTGGCTCCTCCCACTGGGGCAAACGCAGGCATAGCTGGAGGAGCCGCAGGAGAAGCCCCCATGGCTGGCCTGCCTGGCACTATGCCCTGCCCAGCCCAGCCTCCAGCACTTACACAAAAAACGAAAACTCCACACTCACTGGCTCTGGCAGTGGTGACTGGGGGCTCATGGCCCCCCATGCAGGGCAGGGAAGTGGAAGTCGCCCCCCAGCCTGGCACCCATGTGGCAACTGTTGCGTCACTCGGCACAGCACCGTATGCTGCCTGGGAGTTGGGGTGGCTCCACGTGTCACCCGGAGCCCAGCACCACCCAGTCCCAGCCCCCAGACACTGCGCAGCGCCCTGCCAAGCTGCACTGTACCTGCGCCGTGGTGCAGCTGCAGTGCGGGTGCCAAGCAGGAGAGGTGATCCCCGCTGCCCCACGCTGCGTGGGTAGACTCTGTCACAAGGCCCCAATTGCTGCTGCTGCAGCCACTCAGTGCAGGGTTTGTTTTGTTTTATGTTTAATTGCCAGGATGCTGGGGCCGGGCAGGGCATCCATCGGGGGCACAGAGATCAGGGAGTGGGGGCTAAGGGGGGAGGGGGGATCTGCCACGTGGCCCCAGGGCTCCCACAGCCACTGCTACTGCCAGTGAGTGTGTTTTGTTTTTTTGATTCCCCGGACTACTGGGTCCGGGCGTGGGGTGCTCTGCCAGGAGGCTGAAGAGCCCCCATAGCCACCACTACAGCCAGTGAGTGTGGGGCTTTTTTCCTTTTAAGTGCTGGGAGACAGGGCCGGGTGGGGCAGGCATGGGGGCTCCTCCTGTGCCTCCCCCATCCCGGGGAGAGGCAGGCACAGCTGGAGGAGTCGCAGGAGAACCTGCAGCCTGCCACCCAGCTGATCCAAATCACCAAATCTCTCTGAATCAGCACTGAATCTTCTGAAGCCGATTCAGCCAAATCAATTCAGGACAGTAATCTGAATCTCCTAATCAAATCAAATCAGCCAGATCCAAATGCAAATCAAATACTTCCCTATTCGCACAGGCTGTGTGTATGTACACTACACATGTACACTATCTTCAGGAGAACATGTATTGTGTGTGTGCATGCATGCACACGCGCACACACACTCTTTGTGACAGCTTGTATTGTTTTGAAGTTGTGTGCCGTCTTAATCAGCCAGCTTACTATTGTTCCAGGAAATCAAATGATCCATCATGCAATAGAAGTCAGAACTACGAACAGGCCAAAATGCATTGTTCAGTGCTGCCCTCCTGTGACAAACAGTTTTCAGTGTTATCAACATCTAGCATGTAACATCTATCTAGTTACACAGGACCACTCCTGTAAATTGCTTTGAACTGCTGCACTCTTCAGGGGGGCTCTGTGTAGGTATCAAAAATAGTCCACATTCAGGAAACAGCAGGAGGTCATCTATAGCTACATACTGATATCAGCTCTTAAACTATAGTGAACAAACAGGTTTTTCAAACTCTCTAGCTCTGGGTAGAAAGAACTTCCTTAAAAAGTGTTGTGAGGTAAATGCAGAGATCACCAAAGTTATGCACCAGCAGCTGTACACATACCATACCTTAGAAATCCCAGGCACAGTGTGAAGGGAGATAATTTAAATATATCTATTTTAGGTTGATTCAGGAAGGCTAAGGGAAGGCAAGGGTATACACAGAAGTATATAATGAATTAAACTTTTTCTTGAGGCAAGAAACCACCATGGGACAAAACGTTCTCATTTAGTAAGGGTTTTTGCCTAGTTTCCATAACCCACTTGTGTCTGTTCCAAAAGCCAAGCCAAAAGTCAAGGCAGAAGCAAAGCTCCACATAAAGGGATGTACCTTCAGTCCACATGACAGCAGCTACTGTGGGTCATCAAGCTGGTTTACCAGAATTAAGCATTTTACCACTACGTTGATGTCATTTTCTAGGACTTCATCTTAAATTTCACCGTCATCAAATTAGCCCATGTGCAGTGTAGGCTAAAATTGCAAAACCAAGAATTTTCATAAAACTTTCACCCCAAGACGTATCCAAGTCTGATTTAAATTTAAAAAAACCCTCAATCTGAAGACAAAAGGAGGGCTCATGCATACAAAAATAAAGTGGAGCCCTTATAAAATTATCAATTGTTCTACAGCTAAGAATTTGTAGTTGAAGTCAATGCCTTTATTATTAAGTTATTATTATATTATTTGTATTGGTATATTAAATATAGGGAAAGGAATATCCCAGGTACCAAAAACATATCTATTTATCTTGAACAACATTAGGCACCAGCGTTCCCTTTATGCTGTGTGGCGTACGCGGCTGTGCAGATGCGGTCGTGCCTCACTGCCAGGTGCACCTGTGTGGCCACACAACTTAGAGGGAACACTGTTGGGCACTTTGCTAGAAAAAACAACAGTGTTAAAAAGGGTAGTTTAAATTGTTTTGCTATCCAACACCATCAAGACTAACTTTTCGTATACAATTTGGGTTCATAAATTTCTACATAAGATTATGCAGGAGAAAGGGGACTAAGTTAGTCCCTAACACTGTTCTAAGTGAATCGCACATGAAACTGTGGATTATCATTTTAAAATAAATAAGATATATTGAGATGACTGAATTGTTCACTGCAGTTTGGTATCTCCCTGGAAGCTTGAAAGAAATTATTCAACAGGTTTTCCTTTCTCCCTTGGTGAACACTGGGGACCCAATTTAGAAAATACTTACCTACTTACCTTTATGCACTGTGAGTGAAATCTGGGTTCTGAAATCAATGGATAAAATACCCACTGCCTCTACTGAGTAATGTGGTGTACTCGTCTTTGCAGGACTGGGGGTTAGGGAGATAATGGATCCACTGAAGTCAATGGCAAAACTCTCACTGATGTCAAGAGAACCATGATATCACCCTGTCTATTTCTTCTTCTCTTGTGTGTACATAAATGTGCTACATGACTTATACAGCTATTTTTTGTTTACTACTTTGATTGTGCATCAGCACTGTGTCTAAATATATTGGGGAACAGTAGTAATTACAGATTATCAGATGCTCAGGATAAAAAAAAATCTGGCTGCTGTCATAACCCATCCTTGTATCACAGTGGGATTATCATCTAGAGTGTATTTTCTATTAATTAAAAGCTTTCTCCCAGTTCTGCAGCAATTAGGATATAAGGTTAGATCTTGCATGTTTAAAAAAAAACTTAGTGATATTTATTTTCTA